TTCGTAACACTGTATAAAGTAGAAACGCAGTGCACATTTGAGGACCTCTATAGCCACATCCTGAGAGTAACAGTGGAAGAAACTGTCACACGAAATGTTAGGGCAATCATCAAAATATGTTTCTTCAAAAGTGAAAATTAATGGAAATGTCCCAAAGTACCTCAATGGATCTTAAAATGAGGCAGATTATGTGCATTATGATTTTCCTTAGTTTTGACTCTTCAGTGTAAATGACTGTACTATAAGCTTCTATTAGTACAAAATTATCTTTGAGGACTAAAAATTAAATAACAATATAGAAATACATGTGCAGATTTGTTTCACTCTTGCAGTAGGTTGAAATATGTAGTTAAAGATAAACATAAGCACTCTGAATACAGTCTTTCTTCAGCAAAACAGCAATGTCAGCAGAGGCAGCAAACTACAGCAGAAATTGGCGCAAAGTTCAAAAATCATTTCCTAAGAGCACAGAGTACTTAAAATGTAGTATGGGCTAGGTTAACGTTTACTTTTACTTTATTTCACTTGGCATTGTGTTATCAAGTATATGTCAGATATCTTTCCCTGAAACTGCTAGAAATTTTAACTTATTGAAGAAGTTTCATATCTAGAGACTTTGTGTAAAACAACTGGCAGAGCATCTTCTCCTGCCATCATCTACACTATAAAGTTGTTAAAAGAATTTTTTAATAGTCTGTGTAAAAATGTTTCAAACTTACAAAATTCTACTAAAAATTTTTGTGCTACTATTTATAAGTGACTGCTATTCACAGAATTTTAACAAAAAAATTAGGACATAATAGATCCTTCAGAAATACTTCATTTATCACGGAAGCTTGAGCATAATCTAGTACAAATCCTTTATTTTATATGAGGAAATTCAGAAGTTAGAGAGAAGTAACTTGGCCAAGACTATACTCAATAAATTACTAAAAGGTTTGAAAAGCCAGGGCTCTTCCTTCAATTCAATATTAAGGCAATGTGTTTACAACTATAGCTAACATTTTGATTAGTCAAAATCACACAAGCCATATAGATTTTTATCCTCCCCTGGCCCAAATTCTTCTGTAGTGAAAACAGAAAGTGAGAAGTGGGTCAATTCTAAGGCCTAGATTAGAATTTAGAATGTTCATGTAGCACGCTTCCACGGAAAAAGGCAGCCTTTTGGTAAAAGATTCTAAAACTCACTCTCACTAGTTTTTCCTTAGGTACTTACCTTTCTAGATATAAATGGAAAATATGCATCTCAAGGAAGGAATCTCAACTGTAATGATATTCAGCTTCTCTTAACTCTAAGTGCAGAGTAATGTGAAAAATGACAACAGTTAAAGGGAGATAACCTTGGGAGAGACCTACAGGATTCCTGTCAAGTAAAACAGTAGACTGAGACATTTCCTAAAAGTATTAGTTCATGTTACTTTGTTTTCAGAATTTTGATATATACAATCTAACCTGTGGTTACCCCAAAATATGTACAGCCAAATGCAGAGTATTAAAAACACAGAGTCTGGAATACCTCTTTTGCAGACAGCAGCCCATATAACAAAATAATATGACAGATCTGGGAAAAGTAATAACTAGAATTCCTGGGACTGGACTCTATTTTCATATAGAATAGGTGTTATAAGTGTGTTTAGATCTACAAAATAGCTAAAATATTTGCAATCACTGCTTTTTTTAGAAAGTTACTTTGAGCATCCCTAATCCAAAAATTCAAAATCCAAAATATTCCCAAATCCTAAACCTTTTGAGTGCTAATAGGATGTTCAAAAGGAAATGCTTGATGAAACATTTTGGATTTCAGATTTTTGGATTAGCAATACTAATATTCAATAGTATAATGTAAATATTCCAAAATCTTAAAAAATCCAAAATCTGAACATTTTTTTGGTCCCAAGCATTTCTGATAAGTAATACTCGACCTGTGTAATACACACAGATCCGAGACCATGTGTCTTACTGGTTTTTCGGCACAATTCTCAAACTTAGAGACTATATCTTGTTTTATTTTTTTAAGTCCTCACTGTATCTAGCAAAAATTCAGATGCACTGTAAGCACTCAATGCTCACTGAGTGCGTTTTTTTATTAGATTGTTTTTTTAACTTCATCACAATTCCAGACTGTAGTGACTGAGATTCCTTTACATTTCCCTAGCAAAAATTCGCACAAAAACACTGAAGGAGAGGTCCATGTGATATGTGCAGGAAATATAAAATACAGACATGTCCTAGGTTAAAACTCAATTGATGTAAACTGTTCTGCAAAGCCTAGAAAATGCAGAACAGTGATAGTAATAATTTAGAAACACAAAATATAAGACACAGGCAAAATATAGAGAACATAAAGTAAAGTTCCTTGATGCTACTGAAAAGTTTAAACTAGTGATGGATTATTCAAAATATTTAAGTTTAATTTTTAAAAAACAAAGTGAGTGCTGTATAAAAACAGGAGAAATGATAAAATGTAAACAGCAAGATGGTTACAAAGCATAGTAAATCTTTTTTTTTTTTTTTTGAGACACAGTTTTGCTCTGTTGCCCAGGCTGGAGTACAGTGGCACAATCTTAGCTCACTGCAACCTCCGCCTCCCGGGTTAAAGCAATTCTCCTGCCTTAGTTTCCTGAGTAGCTGGGATTGCAGGCACCCACCACCATGCCCACCTAATTTTTTGTAATTTTATTAGAGACAGGATTTCACCATGTTAACCAGGCTGGTCTTGAACTCCTGACCTCAGGTAATTTGCTCGCTTCAGCCTCCTAAAGTGCTGGGATTACAGGCATGAGCCACTGCACCCAGCCAGCACAGTAAATCTTTACTGTTAATAAAAGTGGATTATTTGTGAAGAAAAGCCAGCTGGGAGATATATCTCAAAAGAAAGCCAAAATTAAAAGTTCTGAAAGATAGCCTGATGTTTTTGCTTGGGCCTGATACAATATATGATTGCATTTCTGCACAAATATAACACCAGTGTTTTAAACCCAAGTGTTCTTAGAATATTTTCCAAAACAAAATAACTCAGAAATAGTGGAAGAGTACCTTACCATTCGGTTATTCAACACTATCTGGGAAAATTCTCCTTTTGCAATACTCTGCATAGGCTGTACTGAGAAAATATTCACAACCAGTAAGTGTTTTAACCTTCAAAATAATGGACATGAACGAATAGGAAGCAGATGTGGAAAGAACATACTTCCCTCCCCAAAACTGGTAATTCCCACATTAAAGACATGTACTCCCAGCCCACAATCACCCTTTCCTCTATTCCATATCCCTCTTATAAGTACCATGCAAGAGTGGCTTGGAGGAATTTTTAATCACCCCAGTAATTTCCATCAGCCTCTCCAATAGACACTCCCAAAATATACAACTAAATAAAGCACAGCACTTTTTATTGTGAAAGAAAACTCAAGACAAGAAACTTGGATGCATCATTTCAATTAAGTTGCTGCCTTTCTCCTTTCCTCTACATGGCAATTATGGAGCTGTCACCTATATCATGCTTTGTTGGAGTCTAATAACAGTGGTTAAAAACATACATTTAGAGTCAAGCTATACAAATATTTCTAAAATTTGACAAGTATGAAAACACAAAAAAGGAAGCATTGGTTTAACAAAATAGGAAATCTCAAAAATATACATAGTTGGTAGAATTTTAAATTAGTAAAACCAATCTGGAAGTCCATTTGGTTAAAAAGTATTCAACACTCCAAAAATATGCATGTAATTTGGCTACGAAATTTAATTACAAATTTAATTTATTCCATTTCTTCTGGTAAAGAATAGGTTAAATATGTAACATGTATATGCAGGAATGTTCTCTACAGTAATGTTCATAATAGCAAAATGCTGCAAAAATCTTAAATGCCCAAGAAGCACAGGACTAGTTGGTTAAATTATTACGTTACAGCTACACTATGAAATACTAGACAAACTTTAATATTTGAACAGCGACAATTAAGTGAAAAATGCAGATTACAGAACGGAAGGTATAAAACAATTACTTGTATATTTTTAAAATTTTTAATCACATAATTATAGAAGATAATCTGGAATAATATACCTTAAAAATGTGAAACAATTATTATCTGAGTGATGGGATTAAAGGTAATTGATAATTTCTTTGCAAATTTTTCATCTTCTCATTTCATTACATTAGCATCATTACTTTTATAATCTGAGAAGGAAAGCTTTTCATATTGCGAGTTTAAAGAACTAGTAAGTCTACATAAAGCACACGGACATCAAGAGTTAATTATGTAAGTCCATATAACATATGTGTATATATACCTGCATATCTAAACTCACTTCTGTAAGTACATATCTTAAGTTCTGACTTTTGAAAATTAGCACTTCTTCAAAATTATATTTTAAACTTTTTTAGCATTTCAAAGGCATTAAGAGACATCTGTGTCATCCTGACACAACTAATACTGCTCCAATACCACTACACAATCCATTTTTAGTCTGTTTTGTAATAGGTGAATGTTTAGTGCTATGCTTTGCCTTGCCTTTTGAGTTATTGCCAGAAAAGAAAGAAAAAAAGAAAAAAACTAAGTCACCTCTATAATATACTGCCTGAAGTTTGTAAGGAAAACCACAGCAGAATGCAACTACTTTAACAGCTTTAGAAAGGATTAATTACCAGTGACGGCCCCAGAAGTAAGTGGTGAACATCAAATAAATTCTTCAGTCAGACAAGTCTGACTCTTCCTTCCTTTCAAGCATCTCCACGAAAATACCACATGGGAAGATGAACCATAATACACAGTAAAATAAGAGAACAACTTTAAAAGTCATTTAAATTATCTAAGTATTCATAAAAATTTAATACTGAGCTAAATATAAACTTCATATAAAAGATATGGCATTTAGAATTTATTAATTCAGCTTAGAGTTATAGATGAGCTATGGTATGCTGAACCCATGTATAAAAAAAATATTAAAGACATTTAAGAATTCATAAAATTTGATTACTGGTCAGAGAGAAAAAAAGTACTTACCACTAAGTCCCAATTATTTTGTTCAAGCAATGTAATAGCTTCATCAATGTTTTCAATGCCAGTACATGCCTGGAAACAAAGTAAATAAGCATTTTACATATAATTTTAGAAATGGGAAGGTAAATCAGACTTAAAAATTTAAATAGCATGATATGTAATTTAAATTCAAATAGGTATATGAATAAAGTCGAACACTAAACGTTTAACAACTCTAAGCATTTGACATATCTGTGGACATTGTTAATTACAAAGTAAATTTACATTACTTTGAAAAAAATAAAGCAGCAAAAGAAAGTATATTTAAAACTTGAGCTTTGACACCCAAAATGATCTCTAATTACCAAGAACAACTTTTATTCAAAAGATTCTGATGGACAACCACCTGTAAAACAAATTAATTTCAACCCATAACTTGTACTTTATATAAAAACTAACTCAAAATGTATAACAGACCTAAAGTAAAATCTAAACCAATAAAACTTCTAGTTCTGTGCTGTCTGATAGCTACTACCAGCCACTCTCTGGTAGCCACTAGACATATGTAGCTAATGAGTCCTTGAAATGTGGCTCAATTGAGTTAAGATGTGCTGTAAGTACAAAATACGCATCAGGTAAGACTTAGCACAAAAATTAAAAATGTAAGCTATCTCATTAATAATTTTTCCTTTGAATACAGGTGGAAATGGAAGTGTTTGACAAACTGGTTTAAATAAAACATACTGTTAAAATTTATTTCACACATTTCTTTTTACCCTTTTAACATAAATACTAAAAAAATTTTAACTACATATATGAAACTATATTTCTGGTACTGTTCTTGAAAAAAATATAGGAGCACATACTTGTGACCAGATTAGGCAAAGATTAGTTAGATATAACAGGAAAAGCACAACTCAAAACTATGATAAAATTGACTTTATTAAAGTCAAGAGCAGTAATGACTACTGCTCTTTGTCTTTCTTTCTTTAAAAAGAGTCTCACTCTGTCACCTAGGCTAAAATGTAATGGCGCAATCTTGGCGGACTGCAACCTCCACTTCCTGGGTTCAAGCAATTCTCCTGCCTCCTGAATAGCTGAGACTACAGGCGCACACCATCACACCCAGCTAATTTTTGTATTTTTAGTAGAGACAGGGTTATATAATTTTTTTTTTTAAGAGACAGGGCATCACTATGTCACCCAAGCTAGAGTGCAGTGGCACAAACACAGCTCACTATAGCCTCGACCTCCTGGGCTCAGGCAATGATCCCACCTCAGCCTCCCAAGTAGTTGGGACCACAGGCACATGATACCACACTCAGCTAATATTTTTTTTTCATTTTTTGAAGAGATAGCATTGTTCAGGCCCATCTCAAACTCTGGGGCTCAAGCAATCCGCTTGCCTCAGCTTCCCAAATTGTTAGGATTACAGGTGTGAGACACTGCACTTGGCCTAAAAGTAAATTTTTTAAAACAAAATATCTTAACAGAAAAATCACCAAAAAAGATATACAGGTGATGAGCAAGCACATAAAAACATGCTTGACATCATAAGTCATTAGGGATAATGCAGAGAGATATCACTTCCACATGTTAGAGTATTAAAATCGCAGAGAGATATCACTTCCACATGTTAGAGTATTAAAATCCCAAATACTGACAATACTAAGGGGTGGTGAGGATGCAAAAGAACTGGAACTCTCCTACATTGATCAGGATACAAAATTATACAGCCACTTGGGAAGAGAGTTCGGCAATTTCTTAAAAAGTTACGACCCAACAATCCCACTCTTAGGTATTTCTCCAAAAGAAATGAGTATTTTAGCTCACATGAAAATCTATATATCAATTTTTACAGCGGCTTTATTCTATTAAAAACAAAAAACACCCCAAATGTCCTTCAACTGTACATCTATGAAAAGAAAACTACCCAGAAACAAAAATGAACTACTGACAACACAAAATAACATAAATAAATCTCGAATTGTGTTAAACGAAAGAAGCCAGATTCAAAAAAGGCTACATTTTAAAAGGCTATATAAGGCCATTACAGTATATAGTAAGCCACAAAAACAGCTCATGTATAGTATATAGCCTTTTTTAGGCTATATACTATATGATTCCATTTGTATGACATTCTGGAAAAGAGAAAATTATGAGAACTGAAATGTAAATGATTGGCAGGAATGTGGATGAGACTAAGGACTAATGATGAAAGGGCAGCAAAAGGGAATTTGAGGACACAGTGGAACACTTTTGATTCGGATATCATATAAAACTAAGGCAAACAAGTAAAACAGTAGCAAAAAATGCAATCTTCATTTTCGGATAAATGAGAAGGATAATACAACAGCTCCCAAATACTTATAAGAGCTACAGACGGGCCAGGCACGGTAGCTCAAGCCTGTAATCCCAGCACTTTGGAAGGCCGAGGCGGGTGGATCACGAGGTCAAGAGATCGAGACCATCCTGGTCAACACGGTGAAACCCCGTTTCTACTAAAAACACAAAAAATTAGCTGGGCATGGTGGTGCGTGCCTGTAATCCCAGCTACTCAGGAGGCTGAGGCAGGAGAATTGCCTGAACTCAGGAGGCGGAGGTTGCGGTGAGCCGAGATCGCACCATTGCCCTCCAGCCTGGGTAACAAGAGCGAAACTCCGTCTCCCAAAAAAAAAAAAAAAAGAGCTACAAACAACAGTTACAACAGGGCAGAATTTGCACAGAAGAGAACAGAAGAATCACAAGGAGTGCACAGAGAGCCCAACAGCAAGAAATATAAAAAAGCTATAAAAAAGCACAAGAGGCCGGGCGTGGTGGCTCACACCTGTAATCCCAGCACTTTGGGAGGCTGAGGTGGATGGATCACGAGGTCAAGAGATCGAGACCATCCTGGTCAACATGGTGAAACACCGTCTCTTTTTGTATTTTGTAAAAATACAAAAAATTAGCTGGGCATGGTGGCGCACACCTGGAATCCCAGCTACTCAGGAGGCTGAGGCAGGAGAATCACTTGAATCCGGAAGGCAGAGGTTGCAGTGAGCCAAGATGGCGCCATTGCACTCCAGCTTGGGTAACAAGAGTGAAACTCTGTCTCAAAAAAAAAAAAAAAAAAAAAAAAAAGCACAAGAAAAATACACTTCCTCAGTGTTGTCAACAAAAATGGAGGAGTAGCTAGTTCTAAGATAAAGTGTAGTCTAAGGTAGAGTAGGTAATCTGTTCCTCCACAGAAACACTAAAAAACTGAGCAAAACCCCTCAGAATCAAGCTTGTCAGAGCTCTGGAAAATAGTCAAGGAATCACTTTGTAAGATCTTTTAGGCTGACTGATGGCACCATGGACACTATGGTAACCTCTGTGACCTGCATGGATACTCCAGATGAGTTCCTGGAACTAGAAAGTCTTAAGTAACTTGAAGACCATGAAAAGGGGAAGAATAATCAACCCCTGCAGCGTTATTGTAGAATACTATACAGCCATGAAGATAACTACATCATGTCCTTTGCAGCAACATGGATTAAGCTGGAAACCATAATCCTAAGCAAATTAATGCAGAAAGAAAAAAACCGCACACTGCATTTTCTCACTTACAACTGAGAGCTAAACATTGGGTACTCATGGATAGAAAGATAGCAACAATAAAGTTGCATTACTAGAATGGGGAGAGAGGCAAGGGTTGACTATTTGGTACTATGTTGAGTTCCTAAGTAACAAGATCATTCATACCCCAAACATCACACAACATATCCAGGTAATAAATTTCTATCTGTACCCCTAAATCTAAAACAAAAATTGAAAAACAAAACACTAGTAGACCATAGCTTAAAAACAAGAGACTGCTATGGATTGAATATCTGTATCCTCCTCAAAATTTACATGGTGACATCCTAAACTCCATGATGCTGGTATTTGGATACGAGGTCTTTGAGAGGTAACCAGGACTAGATGAGGTTATGAAGGTAGAACCTTCATGATAGGATTAGCACCCTTACATGGATGAATCAGGAGGCCATTATCCTTAGTGAAATGATCCCAAAACAGAAAGTCAAGAACCATATGTTCTTATTCGTGAGAGTTAAACGATGGGTACACATAAACATACAGAGTAGAATGACAGACACTGGAGACTCCAAAATACGGCAGAGTAGGAGGGGGAAAGGGACAAAATGCTACTTAACAGGTACAATGTACACTATTCAGGTGATAGGTACACTAAAAGCCCAAACTTTACCACTACACAATATATCCATGTAACTCAACTGCACTTGTACTCCTAAGTCCATAAAAATAAAGTTATTAAAAAAAAAAGATTAATGCCCTTGTAAGAAGAGATACCAAAGAACTTGTTTCAAGCTTGAAAGACTAGAAAAGAAAACTACATAATTTTTTGTAAAAACTTTGCTGTCTCTCTCACTATCATACCAGGTGAGAACAGAGGAAGAAGTCAGCCATCTGCAAGTCAGGAAGCGAGCCCTCACCAGAAACTGACCATGCTGGTACCTTGAGGACAGACTATCAGCAAAGAACTACAAGAAGATAAATGTCTTTTGTTGAAGCCAGCTAGACTATGGTATTTTGTTATGATGAACAAGTAGACTAAGACAGAAACCACTTGTGACAAAGAAAACTAAATTACAAAAATAGTTTAGAAGTCATTAAACAGACAATTGCAACCTACAGAAAGCAACAAAAACAAAACATGAGAATGAAGACCAATCTAAATTTCCAGAGACATATGTTTTAAATGTCCATTTAAATATGTGTAAAGCATGCAGAGAAGCAACAAAGTACGTGGCCCATTCAAGGGAGAAATTAACAGAAACTGTCCCTGAGGAAAAACAGACATCAGACTCAGTAGACAGTCTATCAATTATCAGCTTAAACATGTTCATAGAGCTAAAAAATCATGAACAAAAATCTAAAAGAAACCAGAGGAACAAAGTATCAAAAAATAGAGAATGTTGGATAGAGAGTAGAATGATGGTAACTAGCAGCTGCCAAGGGCAGTGGGCAGAGGAGAATAAAGACAAGATAGTTAATGGGTACAAAAACACAGTTTTTTGTTTTTTTTTAATACTAGAGGAATAAGATCT